TTCGTAAAATGCTTTTTTTTTACAATGTTTGAAAACTGAATCGGAATTCTGATTAAATGAAATTAAATTTTGGAAGGTTCAAAAATTATTGTAAACGTATAAAAAAGTAATGAAGAAAATAACATGACCAATCCATATTTTGACATGGCGTGCTGCCTTCCACCGTGTCATATGAAATCGAAGTCTCATTTTTATTGTGTGACTGATATCCTATAGTTTAAGCCGGACCGCTTGAGTGCTTTGCGGCTGGAAGGTGGTACCCACCCGTGGCTTACAATACCATCACATTAATTCGGTTTCGGTCGTAACATGATAGCACAGGATTATGGGTTCTCGAACTATTATTGGTGTATTATATTAGGATTAATGTACATTTTGCATCCTTCTTCTTCATAATCGATTTAACGCGTATACTACGTCAATGATTCCAAATTACCGATTAAGTATTAAGACCTTAAGCTGTGCCTAGGCCTTTTACTTAGTTTTAAGCTTTCTGAGTTTGTTTCAATCCTGTCTTAGCTCGATATTAATTAAGATAATAATAAAGATTTTAAGGCATCCTGCGGGTGTTTCTAGAATAATAGGAAATGTAGTATTTTCTTTAGATGGCTTATTTGAATTCATTGAAGTTTCTTAATTTCCAAATAATTCATTGAAGTTTCTTAATTTCCAAAAGCGTTATAAAGTGAAACTTTCAATTTATCACAATGTTGTTAACAGGTCCACACCGATGTCCTTTGATGGTTTCTTTCATTACGACATCTGATTTTCTTAAATGAATAGTGTTTTTAATCGTTAAACCGTTATTCAAGGTGAAATTTTCGTAAGAACCAACACCAAAAATTGTTTTAGTTTTGAAATTTTATTGTACGTTTGGAGTCGTGTTGCGAAATGATAGCAAATAATTACATATATGAATCGGCGCAAGGATTGCGTTAATGACGTCAACATATTGCATATAAATTGGTTTTAACTGTAATGGTTTTTTTGTTGACTTGTTCTGACAGACGAGGGGTAACCCTTGCATATTGATTGTGACAATACGTTGGTACAAGTCGCAAGCTGTGGACAGAAGCTATAAAAATGGTCCTGGGTTATTTCTATTTTATTTCTGTCTGAGAAAAATCGGTACTGGTGATATGAAGATTAACATTATTTTATCTGTTATAACAATCAATTACCATTTTCGAAAAAGTGATAACAAAGCACAATGAGCTCCCTTCGCGCGGGTATCATAAATAGCGACATAGAGAACTACCGCAGAATAGGCAGCAGCATTGTCTAAGTATTATACCAGCGCACTGGGACCGCTAGCCGTCATTTACAGCAAAGAAACTGATGTGCAAAAACCATCTTTGAAAAAGAGGTTCCATGGTTTGGCGTAGCGCCACCCAGTTCACGACCTCATTTCGTTCCAATTATGAGGAAAAAACATCATTAAGTTCACTGTATTTAATGAATACTAAATGTTTTATTCTGAAGGAGATGGGATTTGCATATCACTGCTAATGGTTCACTAGTCCCTTGGTTTTAATATGTAGAACATCCCCAGCAAAATGCTAGATCATTTCGCTTTTTCAACATGAAATATTACCATGACTACGCGTTTTCTTGGCCATTTTCGGATGAACGATTTATTATTTGACGGAAAAATCCAACTACATATGTGAGACTAACAAAGTAGTCAGTGAAGACGCAAAACGATTATTTTCGAATCAAGATATTGTCAATGGACACGTAACTTTGTTTTCTGTTTTCCTTACATAAGTTGCAGCGGTAATCATTTGTTTGGGCATGCGTTAAGATTTTATTGTTTGAAATATAGCCAGCCGCCAGACCTTAGTAACTTATCCTGAATTCTTGAGTTAAGTGCAAATACAAATATAATTCAATGGATATAAGTTGTGTATATGTATATGTTTTACTAACATTTCATACATCGTTCTAATAACATTTCGTTGCGATGCAATTGTTCAAATACGACTGCTTTATGAATTGCAAGTCACATATGATCAGAATATATTTAACATATTTTATAATTTTTAACGTTACGGCAAACAGCTGTCATAATTTTAACTTTTTTTATTGTTCTGATACTTGCTGAAAGAGCAGGAGGAATTGGATAGCAACAACCCACTGAGTGTCTCTCCGGATCTTCTCAGTGAGTGATTTTAATGAATCACTGCTCTTACTAGGGCGCATGTTAGCAAGTTCGTTGAAGCTTTGAGTTCACTAACAATTTGAAGCCAGAATACTTCGAGGGTACTGGCGAATAGATAGGCCCAAAAAAGGACAATGGATCTTGTATTTTTTAACGTTTGTCCCAAAACATCTGAATTTTGCTAGCGGTATAATCGGTTGTAAATGACCTTCGGAAAGTGATTCCGAGGGATATCCGTATTGTACTGGAGATTCGCGGTGGCGAAACAAAAATTATCTGGATTGAATTATATTGTGTGTGAGGCAATTAAAAAATCTTGGCGCCGTCTTAATTTCCAAATTATGTTTGATTACCTAAAAATCATCAGCAGTAACACCTTTATAGAGCAAGAGCCCGCGACAGCCAGACCTTCGTTATTTTATAAAAGCTGAAAGTTTCTCTGTGTATGTCTCCAACACAGGTAAGAACGACCCGCGATTATAGAGTTCCGATTGTGGTTACTTGGGCAGGTAACAGGCAGTAAAGGTATATAAAATAGTACCTTAAATTCGTTAAAGTATAAAGGTTTTTTTTTTNAGTATAATTAAAATTTATTAAAGTTTAAGGGTGTCTGGCAGGGGGTAACAACTGGAAAAAGTGTCCGGCAACGGATATCATGATTTCTAAAGATATTCTGGACTAAATATTAAAAAAAAAACCTTTATACTTTAACGAATTTAAGGTACTATTTTATATACCTTTACTGCCTGTTACCTGCCCAAGTAACCACAATCGGAACTCTATAGTCGGGGGTCGTTCTTACCTGTGCTGGAGACATACACAGAGAAACTTTCAGCTTTTATAAAATAACGAAGGTCTGGCTGTCGCGGGCTCTTGGGCTATTACGGCTTAGAGGGGTTATGTCGTTATTCCAATGCGCATCATACCTCAAGATACGTTCAAACCGTTGGAGTGTGACCTCGTTTTTTGATATGCATATAAAAATACTCTTTTAATGAAAATTAGTGAAGCGGCAATTGATTATTTTTTGTATAGCTGTGTTGATTTATCTCTTATGAACATGTATTTTTAGTTTAAACAGTGCTTCAGGAAATCTACGCACTCACACGTCCCTTCACGTCACGTGTCATAAAATGGGTTACTAGAAATATTTAAATCTGGACTTATTTGCGCATCGTCAAAAATCGGCAATACAACGGTTCTGACTTGACTCTGCAAACCGCACTGCAGGAATACGACTAGGTTTAGGATACCTGTTTTATTCGCGAACTCTCTAGAAACTATCACCGATAAATCGATGGCATAAAAATAAATAATATGGTAAACATGCGCTTGGTTGCGACAGCGAAAGTATTCAGAAGTGCAATAAACACTATTTTAAACTGACGTACTTAATATGTAGTTTTATTAAAGTTTACGAATCTCAAGATACTTAAAATATAATTGAGAATATTAGATAGATATGATCAGGGTGTTTCTCGGCAGAATGCCAAGTCCGCCAAATACTCATTGACCTAAAATACCAAATAAAATCAAATAATGTCGCATACAAGAATATGCTGTAGATAAATCTCCTCCAGTAGATAATCGTTTGAACCACGCCATTATCGTCATCATTTGCTTTGACTTGACTTCTCACAACACACCTGGTGTGAAGTGGTTACCTGGACGTGAATACTGCCATTCGTCTTGAGGCTTTAGTCTTGGAAGTCTTAATTCAACTACTGTCCTACTCTTTGAATTAAAACGAATTCTTGCTTCATTATAGTAAAAGACTGTGATGGAACCTAACTGTATGTGCTATTTGTGTATCCACAATATGAATTTCCAGAATATATGCAAATTAATAATAAATTTGCGGTATTTGTTAATTTCACGATGTTATTCCCGCAGCCGTCTGAGAGAACACGCGGTAATAGAATCATTAGAATTTGTCCTCATTTTTACAAGAATTATCTCCTCCTCCTTGCGTCGATAGTCCTCAATCCTGAGGGTCGTGGCCTCATGAGGCTTTCTTGGAAAAATACACATGGTGGGTTCCCGCGTCCTACCACGGCAGTGCTTTTGGAAGTGATTTAGCTCTTCAAGGCCGCTGAAGCCTTATTTGGGTTCGGCTAATTAACCGCCGCCAGACATTCGGCGTTGACGTTTTACGGTGGAAAGGTCGAACTCCAACTCAACCCTCCCCTTTTCCAATCCGGGCTTGGGACCGGCACTGGCAGAGTTCTGGCAAGAATTATCTACAAATAACGAAAAAAACTTCGATTAAAATAACAAAAAAGAAACTATATAAGACCCTGAATTGATTTACTTTTTATGTTTTTGCTATTGTGGCGGCTGCTTATCTATTTGCTATTGTGACGGCTGCTCAAACAAAACTAAAGACGAATGAAGAGCAGTGTTCACGGAAGGTCACAGCCGCATATTATTCTCTGTCCACACATTCCGCACGGAAATGCAAGGTCCCGGGGGCCGTTTCACCTTGATGTGCAATACTGTGCATGTTCTTATCAGTAACCCTGATTTATATCTATCTCAATTTACTACAGCTAATTATTATCAACCCAATTTGCTCTGCTCGTTATTTTAATACGAAGCTGGTAACGCTGTCTTGTATATTTTTGCTACAAAATAGTCATGCTTTCCTGGTTTAAGTGTGCGATATCTTTTGTCGAAGTGCATAAAGGTGCATTAAATCATTTACTGTCTACTGTCACTTACTCGTCATATATAATGACCGGTTTAAACTGGCTAAAAAGATTATCGGCTTGCATTAGCAAATCTGTATGTGTACCTAATATATTTACAATGTTAATGATAGTAAAATGTAATGTTTCAGGTCGGGTCCATTCTGCGATCGTGGCCTCAGTTAACTTGGAGACGCGCTCAGTTGCTGTGGAATGGTTCGAGCGCGGCGAGACCAAGGGCAAGGAGATCGAGATAGATGCCATCTTAGCGCTGAACCCTGAACTGGCGAGTGGGCCACGGCACCACACTCCGCACCTGCAGCCGATGCCCAACAAACTAGCCAGGGTCGGTTACCTTTTCCATTTATGATACCCTGGTACCTATTAGTTAACATTTACAACTAGCGCGATGTAGTAGTAGATTATGTTCAAAGTACAACGATTTAGAGTCGATGGCCGCACGCAATGTGCATTGCTGCTACGTAGGATGCCGATTTATCAATTTAAAAGTCGTTTAGTTTATAAATTATAAGTGAGTCATTTGTCCAGATACATGATTTCATTACGGAGATGCCGACTAAGATAGTGCGTACCTACGCCAATCTTTTGTTCTTGAAAACATTACCTCATTCGTATACGTTTATTATTTATAAAGTAATCAGTTAGCATGTAGGTTATGCATTCATTTTGATTAAAGAACAACCTCGCATTCACTGGATCTCGGTTTGATTTACGCATCGGAACCTAGCTCAATAAATTCTTCCATCGATAAGACGTTGACCCTCGGAAAGCTGAAAATGATATAACTGCAGAATCTATGCTCGCTTTCACGATTAATATTAATCGATTTCGAATTTTAGTGAAAAATCGAAAGCCATTATCGATTCGCGAGTGCGAGTCGAACGCGTACCAAGCCGCGATCACTCTCATTGTTTGGGTCGCTAAGAACGTTGCTAATCGACGCCACGCTACAGTTGCACCTCTAGTATCACGTTAGACGAATGTGCGCTTTGTTTGTGGCGCCCCGGTTACCGCTCATCAGCTTTATATTTTTAATAATGACGTCAGCATCGGAGCCGGTCATATAGCGATCAGTCGTGCGTGGTGTGGTTAGAAACTCGACACTATCAAGTCTCGGCCACCGCAAAATCATCGGAGAAAATGTAGACATGTTCCCTTACATCATCAGTTGGCAGGTGATCACCTAGACGCACCGTAGTTTGAGCTTGTTTATTGTTATTAAATAGTTGGTTACCAAGGCGACGCTGCTGTTTGCTGACGCGCAACTTTAGGCACATGTTGCAGCTAGTTGACAAGACTAATCGATGAGGCCGCCGGGCACGCTCCGTGTCTAGTGCGTGGACAGCAAGTAGTGGACGCCGCTCAATGACAATGACTGATAGATAGTTGTGAACGACCTTCCACCTGTGTGCCCACCTGTGACGCACGCCGGTTATCGATTTTCATAACACCAGCATTTCAGTTTCACTTTCATTACGAACTAGACGGATGGAAATCGACGGAGCGATCAAGTGTCCCGATACAAATTGAGTAAGTGCAGCACAGTAACCATGATGTATGACCGGCACGTGTGTATTTGACGAAGGATCCGTCGGGCTCCTCTTCGGACGACGGCGGGTTCCTGCAGGAGGGCGGCGAGGGCGAGGCGGGAGACTCCGGCCACACGCTGCCCGTGCGCAACTCACGATCGGTACTCACCCTCACGCACGTTCCACGCATACATACGCACGTCGACGCCCCGGAGCGGACCGACATTTTATTTTCTTTCACATTTTTCGGTTGTTTTGCTCCACGATCTATGATTTGCACACGTTCGGCTTGTTATGGTGTTTTTGTGGAACGTGCTTTTGTCACTGATCGACGATGGCGATCGGTTACGGTCGCTCGTCGTGCCCCTGACAAAACCACGGTCCATTTAGTGTTTGTATTGTGCTGTATTACATTTGCAACGCAGTCTATTCGTTTCCGATCGATGCCGCCATCATTCGATCTCCGTTTGTGTTCACCTGTTTACGAATAAAGCTTGATTTGGACATCACCAGTGACATCATGTCCGCGATGAATCACCTTCCCACGACGTCGGGCGACGACGCTTCTTTTAGCCGATATTTTATTTCTCGCCAAAGAAAAACGCAAATGACCCCATTGAGATTGCCTATTTCGGTGTAATTTATTGTATCGATTTTTGGACAAGCTTTTTCTCGGTAAATGCATGTGTTTCGAAATATCATGTAATTATTGGAAAAGATGTACCACTGGAATGTTTAGTGTTGAGCTTAAATACAAATATGTAATACCATTATGAACCCAGGGAATTACGACACGACCGACACCTACAGATGATATTGGGTCAGAATGTACAGTGTGGTATGGTAATGTGTCTCCGGCCTCCTCGAGCTGCTTCTCATGCGTCAATGACATCATGACAAGTGGTGGGTAGGGAGTCCGCTTATCACCGTGCTGGCCGTTTCTGGCACTGACGTCACAGTGCCATGAAGACTTCGATTGTATCTCAATTGGTGGCGACATCCACACTGGTGCTCTTGGGCTCCGGTAACAACATAAGTAGCAGGCCAGTCGTGTGCCGCTCCTACCGTCTATGCTTTTAGATTAACGGATAAAGAACAAAATTACGTTCCACATCGGCCGTGAGCTATTGGGTTCCTATGTCACGTACTTGTGTGTGCAAAAAACACACATATAAAAAAAAAAACGTAAATACAGAGCACTCCCGACACAAGAAGCAAAAGTTGATAAATCACATATGCTTAGAGACCCTATATTAATATATTATGTAGATATTTTGATCACTTACAAATTCCTATTTTTTTAAATAATAATATTCAGATTGCTATCTGACCTTGCGTCTCCAATGTTGAGAAGTATGATGAATTTGTCTCCGAATGAAATAAAATCCGAAATTAAATATTAAATATGCCAGTGTCACTGACCGCTAGCGCAACGAGCCGATAACATTAAGAATTTGAGGAAAACATACCTAATATATAAGTATACATCAAAACTGAGTCATACAAAAGAACTGAACGTTTGCAAAACCATTGTTCAAATGTCAAAAGCTAGAAAGATTTCTTCTTATATGTATGTAGAATGTAGATTCCGTTTAAACTAAGCGGTTTAACTAACTAAGGTATTTAATAAGACGGAAGCCAATGCTGTCGTACCTACAAGGAATTGAAATAGAATTTAAATGACGGTCACTCAATTACAGTAGAGCTAACAAACAACGTCCTGAAACACTGTACCACTTTTTTGAAATTGGTTAAAAATAGACAAATCGTGTGGACCGTTATTTTGAAGTCGCGACAGCATTGAACCTGCGTCGCGTACGTAGCTCGGCTGAGTCACTCGTGTAAACATTAGTGGCTGTTCAACCCGCTCCGTTGAAATAGAACGACACAGAGACGTATTCTGTTGTTAGAGAAAGGGGGCACTGGTCGTGTTTATACGTAGCGTTGATAACGAAATAGCTAATGATGATAGTAAGAATAGGGCAAGATTAATTTAAATCGCTCTTGCTAGGCCAAGCCTTTGTCCTCCTTGTTTCTCATTGAGGAAGCTAAACTTACGAGTCTGGAAACGTACTTACTCTACATAATTTCCGTTTTTGTCATGCAGTTACGTGCCTAATGTGCTATTTGTCCTCGATTACTAAGAATGGGATTGTTTTAAAATTGTTTAGATAGGTGAACGAGCTCACGTCCCATCTGATGTTAAGTTTTTACTGGAGCCCATAGACATCACCATCTGAATGCTGCTACCCAACTAGAGTATCTCAATATTTTATTGTTGTATTGTTTATATAGAATTTACTTAAAATAATAATAAACGCAATTACGTAAATTATAATTTTTGCTGGTGTGATTTTTTTATAGGATGTTTTTCTTGAGTCGTGGAAGTAATTCATGAACAGTAATATATTACGTATTTAATTGGAAGTAGTCGTTGATTGGATTTGAACCCCAGCATAGTCTTATCGTTCGACTAGCACACTAGAAGTAATAAAATATATTCTTTAGGCCACAACGACTCTAGAATCTTTAAGTTTGTTAATAAGTATTTATTTACCAGCTCATTTGTCAACGTAAGCCTGCGAAAACTGCTTTTGGTCGGGGATTGGCAATGTATCAGAATTTATTATGACCAAAAACAGTATTAGAATTAAATTAAATATTAAAAAATTTGAGCTTTCCACATTCCAATCAAGCTACGTTACGAGCAGATATAGATCCTAAATCATAGCCTTGAGAGGCTTGCAAAGTCGTGATCAGTTTAAAATTGTATCAATTTTTATTAGGAATTTCTAATTGAAACTTTAGTGAAATACCTACTCATTATGACGGCTTGTATTTCATATTAAACTGTTGTTCAATTGTAATTGAAAGGATAGGGTGGTCAAAACCCACACTTCAACATTTTCACCTTGATCGGTCCCTGTTTTGCACGTTGTTGTATGTAATGAACTTGCTTCCGCGCATTCATCGCTTTGTGGATTTGCATACTCGTGTGGAATACCGCTTTATATTGGATTTTAATTAATTTCGCGTGTTTTTTATTCGCGCCTTTAACAGTAATTCATTATCATTGTTTATTTTCCAAGATATTTTTTATTTTGCCTATACTACGTACTTATTGACTTATTGTGGTTGTGGACTAGTAGTACCAAATATTCCTTTTGATGAAGGATTCACTTGCCTAGGCCTTTGTCAAGGCCTAGGCAAGTTGGCCTAGGTCAAGATGTTATGAGTTTTTTAAGTCTCACCTTTACATTACTAGGTAAGGTTTTTCAACGAGTATCAATCAGTGTTGTAGTTTGATTTCAGTTAGTTTTACGATCTTTACGATCAGTCGACGTCATCAAACCTTCATGGAACTGATAGGTCTGAGATTGGTAAGACGGTGATTATATTACTGTTGTGATGGCAAAATATGTTAGTCGTTAGCAGAGGCAGGATCGCAATCTCGTACCTTTGACTTCGTTGACTATTATAAAGAGGGTTTGCTCATCTTCAGAGTCAGTTAGTCATAAATAAGATCGAAATTATAAATCAACAGTCTCATAACTCGACACAAGTAAGCCGGCCGTGCTACCCACAAGACCACGAACTGTGTGCTTAGTGCGAGTTTTTAACGTTCTCGATAGTGTTAAAGTTAACTCAAATTTGTATGCAGCTGGAACAGCGCCCCTAGCGGAAAACGCAGGGAAACGTTCCAACTGCATACAAAAATTGAGACTTTTACGCGATCGAGAACGTTAAAAAACTCTCACTAAGCGCACAGGTCATGTTCGTCTTACCTTATAATAATATTGTGATGATCGTTTTAATTTTATAACGCACCAGGGGTTCGGTAATTTGGCGCACGTCCAATGTGCTGTTTTTTATTTGTTCAGATTACTGACTGACTAAGATATTCGTCAGTGAGTAACATAGATCGTAGAATGATCGACGAATGCAGGTCATTAATGTCTGTTCAATTAAATATGTGCCGGAAAATCAAAATAAGAAGAATGTTTTTTGTAAAATTATCAAGTACGCGTGTTGATCTTAGCGTGAAATTGCTAGCGGGCTTAAAATCATGAACTCACGTGAATGTGCTTTTCCGTTATATATTATTATAGAGGATTACTTAATATTAGCTAGAAACTAAGTTTCGTATAGTACTTCACTAGAGTAATTATTTAAATTTGGCAATATCTGTCTGTGCTATTGTCCTTCTTGACATGGAAAGTAACAGGACGTTGCAGTGGGCAATCACCTCGTTCAGGTCCTGATACTATTTAGATCCACGAGGGCGATACGAAACTATCATCGAGCTAACAGTCCATTCGTCTTCTTCGAGAGCAATGAAAGAGCGTCATTATTATACCGCGTAGTCTCTCATCACGACCTTACAATTAACAGATACTCATCAACACTCAAGGGACCATGCTTAGTACTTGGAAGTCAGTTGTGCTCACCCGGATCAAAAAAAAAATGTTTTTAATGATTACATTGATCTCTTAACCCTTTCCACCATTTCTTCACAGCCCTCTCCCTCATTTACGGAACTCTCCCGACGGCGTAAATTATTGAAAATTGTCTCGTCCCTAGCGGAAGAGATTAAGGAAATGTTTCCAAAACATTTAACCGAGATGAATGGCTCTGTAGTTAATCGCCCATAATTTGCGATGCTTAATCTAGATTTATTTTAATGTTTAACGAGTTACGGCTCGAAGCGGGAAATTAGCAACCGTGCAAGAAATAAACATTTGTGACCTCTCACCTCTGTGGTTGCTTGCTTACCTTTTTGTTGGCTATCAACAGCGTGGCTGGCTGCGTAACGGGTGTCTGTGCCTTAAGAACCATCTGCTTATATGTATGATGATTCATAGTCACCAACGAGCGGCCCCGCGCATATTTTTCTACATTTAAACATTAGCACATAACTCTGGACACATTTCTGTTTAGGAGGCTAACATAAAACATGTATCTTCATTGTTTCTTTCTTCGCAGTCGTGTAGATAGTTCTGTCCTTTTATAGATATTAGCACCATCCTGAACTTCAATAATGAGCTTTTATGTACATAGTTTTAATTCAGTTTGGTTAATGTTTGTTTACATAAGATTTGTGGTAAGGGATTTGTTTGTGTTTCTAGAGATCAAGCTAGGAACTGCAACATTTGATTACATCTTAAAAAAATCTGTCAATTCCAAACGCATTCCGCGGGAGTTGGATCGGAAGTCCATGTGATGTTTATGCTTCAACATTTCTCATGTAAACAATAATATTACCTTTTGTAACATATGCTTCGTTTGTTTTGAAATACATCAGTATTTGTGTTCATGTTTGTAGCTTTGAATTTAATTATATATTTTTCTGTTTTAGGATATGACGCGGCAGTCCATACCGGTTGCGACAAAAGGTAAGCTTTTGGATTTTATATTAAAATTATCTAGGTGTGCCCCGCGACTCTAACCGCGTAGTTTTTCCGAGATTAAAGTAGTTGTTTTATTTTCGGTCCATAAATAGTAAACTAATAGTAATAATAAATAGTAGAAAGAACGTACAAACATTCATTAATATTATTTTAGAATTCATGTCTCAAGGCGGGTGACGGCATTTACATTATTGATGTTGGTAGGCTCCGGTAACCACTAAATACCAGGTGGGCCGTGAGCTCATCCACGCATCTAAGCAATAAAAAATAAATGGATGAAATTTTATTTGTCCGATTTAAATTTAGAGTTTCAGTTAAGTGCACATTATTTATTTATTGCATGAACGGCTGAACGGGAGCCCACGACCGACCTGTTGAGTGGTTAGAGAAACCCCCAAGAAATTATAACATGAAAGCGGGCACTCATCTTGAGACATGAGGTGGAAGCCTTAATTGTATTTCATATGACCCACCGCTCAAACTAGAACATATGGCTGCTTCTTATATGGATTACATGGCTGGTTATTTAATCAGCAATAAAATCGTTTTCGTTTGTGCTAGAAAAACAAAAGCAAAATGCAAAAAAGAACGCACGTGTATAGTATATGTCCAAGAGACAGTCCATGAATCATAATATTTAGATAATGTTTTGAGCGACTTGCTCGCCAAACGCGATCGATTTTCTGTCAGTGAGACTGCGATTGAGAGGGAAACTAATAGAAATGTATTACTTCGCGTTTTTGTTTTGGGCTTTGTGTTGAAGAGCTCGTACCAGACGGACGAGCAATGTCTATTTGAGTTTACGTAGGTTTGGAATATCAGTGAGTCATCAGAGAAAGACGGTAGTCATATCTACCTCTTTGAGCGCTTAAAAAATGTCCTCTATGCTGAATAGATACACCTAATAATCAGTCTCGGAACAGAGACTTATTGAGTATCACATCTGTAATCGTCGCATGAGGCTACAGACTACAAATACACATTACCTTATATTTTATGGGGTGTGCGGTGATGGTGGCAACGGCGTTCCGTTGTAGTGGGTGGTGAGGGAAATGCATTCCGCTTTATACCTTAAATCTTCTTCTTCTTCTTAGTCGCATACTTTATTGCTGAAGGTCGTGTCCCTGAAAGCTCTTCGTGGCTCTTTGTATCATCAGCTTAAATCTTAAAAGAAAAATCTAATCCTTATTAACTGAAATTTGAAAACTTGAGTATTTTATAAATATATAAAATGAAAGCACTGAATAAGGACACGTTCGAAAGATACCCTTTATCATCGCAAGATGTGATGATCCATGAGGTCACGAGCAGACTGATCTGACTTTATTTACCTCCAGCTACTACGTGTTGGAGTTCATATAATTATGCACTGCGAGAGGTCAACCACCTCAGGCCGATTGTTTAGTCTATGTAGGCGGACGATCACGCGAATCGGCGGCGATCGTGCTAAGTTCTTTGAAGATAGCAAGATTCAGCTTTTGTCTTTCTTTTATTATTTCAGTCAGTAGCCAGACACCAAACGTGCTTACAGACCGAATGAAATGAAAACCGCAATGCAGTAAATTGTTTCTATGTTACACCTAGTTTTAGATAAGATCCTAATGGTATAATATTTCAAGACAGCGTCTGTGAATTAAATACATTGAATTTGTTACTGGTGGTAGGACCTCTCGTGAGTCCGCGCGGGTAGGTACCACCGCCCTGCCTATTTCTGTCGTGAAGCAGTAATGTGTTTCGGTTTGAAGGGTGGGACAGCCGTTGTAACTATACTGAGATTTTAGAACTAATATCTCAAGGTGAGTGGCGCATTTACGTTGTAGATGTCCATGGGCTCCAGTAACCACTTAACACCAGGTGGGCTGTGAGCTCGTCCACTCATCTAAGCAATAAAAATAAAAAAATCATAAAAACGTGAGTATTCAATAAAAGCTGGTTCATCATCATACCTGAATCAGTAGGCGGCCTTCTTGGTCTAAGTTAAAACTTTGAACTTAAAGGCGTCATTAAAATATTTATAATCTAATACAACCGCTTATTGAACTATCTACAACCCGTGGTGTTGAAAGTCCTCAAATGATTGAATTGTACCCTCGCGTGCTCTGATACATTCTCGTGCGGTCGCTCTCGGAACTTCCGAGTTCATTACGCAATTTCGTATTGGCACGTATTGCAACGCTGCTCTGTCGTCGATGCTCGTCCCACATAGCAACGGATCAGGTTCAATCGTGACACACACGGCTTATCGCTAGCTAAGTCTGGACAGCGGTAGGCAGCGGCTTGGCTTTGCCCCTGGCATTGCTGAAGTCCATGGGCGACGGTAACCACTCACCATCAGGTGGGTCGTGTGCTCGTCTGCCTACAAGGGCAATAAAAATAAAAAACCACTAGATTGAGTTCCTCCATTTCCTCTTTCCTCCATTTCCTCCATTTAGTAAGACATTGTCCGAATCCTCTATATAATAAAGCACCGCCCATCGTAACCAATGACATTGAAGTCCCGTTTGCGTTCCGAACTGAAGACATTCGGGGTTCATCTTCATCATAAGCCTATAGCAGTCCACTGTTGGACATAAGCCTCTCCATTCGAGGTCCAAATGTACATGTTCTCGTCTTGTTTGTCTGTTTTAGTACATAGCATGTATTACATATGTACTACGTATTCGTAACACAAGAAGAGCCTAGCTTCGGGTCGTTTAGTATGAAAGGTTAATTTAATTACTTTCATGTGGGGCAGTTTCTTCTGAAACTGAACCGACTAGTTAAATTACTTTTAAACTGAAATCGGTACAAGATTTTCTTCGAGTACTTTAAAGCTGTCCGCCCGCATTGTGTCTTTAACTAGAACGTTCTGACCTTTAACCTTCTGAATAGAATGTTATATTTCTTCGAGAAACGGATGTCCGAGTTGATGTATGCCTTCCCAGCAGAACCTCATAATACATTACTCATGTTTATTTTAGCTCACACTGGCAAATGAGCAAATTGTATGAAATGCAGTACTAATCTATGCTGTTGAACAAAATATATTGTCACTCTATTTTACTGTCAATAAACAGCTGGTCGTAATAAGTTGCTAAAACAAATAACTCACAAACATGATTTGTATCCCAATTTCCAAGTAGTGAGCTCGTGATAATGGCGATATAATTGAACCACGCACGTTTGTAAAACACACACGATACCGTCCGACATTCGGGGGTTTGAATTTTACATGGAACGGTCATGTTGACTCCGTAAAGCTGGACTTCCACTACGCTGCAGTGATAAATAGTTCTTAGTTGGAATTCATTAAGTCCAAATAGAATTTTTTTAAAGTGTTAAGATTGTTTGTCTTTAATCTTCGCGTTATTAAGCTTTCTTGTGATTTGAACTGCCCTGTAATCTGCAGCTTTTAAGAATGCGTCCATGAACTTGACTATATTGAATTATTCTTACTGTTTTCAATTTCTCGGTGGTCTTAAAAGAACTAATCTAAAATATTGATTGAAAATGTTAAGTTAGGTTGGTTAATTCTTTAAATTCTTCACACACACAATGTCTGTCTTTTGGAAGCGCAAATTTTGATCAGCGTTCTGCTGATAGCAGTGATAGCGAAGTCTATATTCCTGAGCTTTGTTCTGTAATCTCTATATTATTTTGTTGTTGTTCGGTTTCGTGGAGCCTCTAACCTGAACCCAAATATCATAAGTTCATATTAAACAAGTACCTGCTTGTCTTAATAGTTTTTATACGCTGTTATGCATTGAAAACGAAGAGTTCTTCCTGACAATAAATATCTCTTTTTAAAAACAAGCTTTGTTCGGTCTGTTTTTGTTGACTTTAGTTTTCTCCTGGGTCATAAACCCAGGCATTAGGTAACGTTATGAAGCGTATGGTATTTTAAAGTATTGCAAAAAAAATTACTGGTTTCCTGGTTTTGGCTTGGCCCGAATCGCATAGCACGCTAGGCCTACCGCTGGGTTGTAAAGCGAACAACGTACTCGCAACGCAACGCTCGCATTTCGGCGTGGAAGCCCGGCTCGAGAGTGGGTGGGCTCGGCGCGAATGGACAGTGATCGTTCGGCCGCGCACCACATAGGCTGGCACCGTTTGTTATTAATAACAGCAACGCTAATGGTCACGATTGAGTGCTTCGATTTTAAGTTTTAATTGCTATTTTAGTGGACAATGCCGGTTTTGTACGAGCGTTGTCCTCAAATGGATTTGAAGCCGCGACGAGGAAGCTTAGGCTGTAAGTGGCAAACTCGACTGGCAAATTGAGTAAGGCTAACTTGAGGCTCCCAGAGTCTCCTGAATATTGCTAATACTGCATACTTTGAAGTTTAACAATGAATTCCTTCATGTAATTTCAAGAGATCAGGATGATCATGTTAATTTTTTCAAAAATTTCGCACCTTTGCTTCTAGCGGTATCGATCTTTTGTGAATAATTTATGTCTGCTTGATCACGTGATCGTATGAGACTTTTGTAGATTTAGATGTTGTCGCTAAATGAAAAAGTAATTGTTACAGAACTTAGAGACCATCTGTCCTTTCCCGGATACTGAATTCCAGATGCATTTAATTAATGCATGATGAATATCTAGGAAAGTTTGTCGTTTTCGGAAACTCTTCTAAAGTATTATTATGTAGATTGAGGAAATCATCGGCACTTTCTTAATTGAATACCTTCGTAAATATATGCTTCAGATTACCGTTTAAAATGATTGTTGTGGCATTTACATTGTGAACGAATTTTACTTGTCATTGTTGAAAATACGAGTATATTGAAGGGTGCTTTTAAATCTTCAACCTTGAACCACTGGAATTTGTTGTCGTCGAACAGTGAATGAAGCCTTATTGACCTTTCGTAACGTCGCCAAAAGTCCGAGGAGGGGTCTACATTAAAAGTTTGATGAAACATGGCAGAAACACATAGGGGTATTAGACAAGGAACCACATCAAGGGTAAACGTAAAAAAGTATAAAATTTGGGCAATTTTTTTTTTTTTTTTGTTGCCCTTGTAGGCAGACGAGCATACGGCCCACCTGATGGTGAGTGGTTACCGTCGCCCATGGACTTCAGCAATGCCAGGGGCAGAGCCAAGCCGCTGCCTACCGAATTATTTGTCAATTGGCCATGTGAGCCCGTACGGGCTGATACCACTGCTCTGTTGGCTTCAGCCGGGGAACCGTAATGCGAACTCCACTTTGAAGGCCAAGACAGCCGCCGTAATCTATAATGCAGATTTCGATTTCGTCTCTCGAGGAGGGTGGCAGTATTCATATTGTGATATCCGGTAACCACTTAATAATAAATGGGCTGTTAGCACGTTCACCCGTTTATACAATAACAATACAAAACAAAACCTGTATAATCTAAGAGCTGAACAAATTTCATGATTTAGGAATTCAGTTTAGTTCATTGCACGCATGAGTTGAAGTTTGTAAGAACAATATTCGTCCAGCATTCTTCCCACGTGCATTGTGTGCACGTTTACATTAGAGTTATTAATAATATAAGTTTCTTTATTGTGTTGAAGAGTTGTGAGGATAACGTACCTGTGAATCAGGCTGTGTGGGTTAAGCACAATGACCTTGTCTGACCCCTCGAAGATCTTTTACGGGACTTAACTTTAAAAAACTATTCCTCGATTTTATAGTTGCGGAATTCTTAGATTATGTGTTGTGGTGTATTTTAATTTCACGGCTACAATAGTACAGTATAATTTCACTGCTTTAGTTGCTGAAGTCATATGTTGGCGGCATAAAGTCACATCCTCGGTGGCATTAACATTTGCCTATTAGGATAGTGAAGTGCTCTGTAATTGTGTGCAAAAACAAATCATTCGCTAAATAGTTTACTCATGAACCAGATCATTTCGGCTGGCGTGAATCAATAGCTCACGTCTAGCCTGAACTTAAGTCCATAGGCAAGATAATAGCTCTGTCTACTTTGGGCTATAAACTCTAAATCCAAATTATTATGGTTCACTGGAATTATAAGGCCGTGAACACCGTGGGACCCACCACCGGAGATAATCTCATTACGAGCGGCTGGTTTAGCTAATTGGAATTAGTTTCAGTCCTAATTTACGTCGGATAGGTTAATGGGCTAAGTATGTCTGATCTAATATTACTTTAACAGACAAACCTAGGTACGTTTGTAGTGCTAGGTTTTTATGATTGAAGTTGAAATTTTCTCGGGATTTCTTTTTCTTTTTTAAATTTCTAATTTTATTCTAAACAAGAAAGGGATCAAACTAACTAAGATAATAATCGAACTTGTCTATATGTAACGCAGTTCGACCGTAAACTCATTTTTTTTTGTAGAGAATTAAGTACTTATACGATAAATGAAAAAGCCATTTTTTTCAATATTCGTTTCTATGTGCTAAGATCTCTTAAGATACATTAAATGATCTCTTATTACATGATCTCTTATTACTACATAGTATAAAACATACTCGCTTTCTATGTCCCTATATCCCTATGTATGCTTAAATCTTTAAAACTACGCAACGGATTTTGATGCGGTTTTTTTAATAGATAGAGTGATTGAAGAGGAAGGTTTATATGTATAATAACTTTCATTAAATAGTGGAGAAATGAATAATAAATTAGTTTCCGAAGCGAAGCGAAGCGAGGACGGGTCGCTAGTTTTAGATAAAAACGAAAAGTGGCTTAGTAGCTCTGTAACAATAGCTATCATAGACTAGGAGATATTTGTCAAAAGCCTGAATAAAGTTTAAGCCAGCCAGCCAATTTAAGGTATAAGCTCTCATATGTACAAGTTCCGACCAATTACATTCATAAATCGCAAACCTGTACCGTAGCGATGTTCTACTGATCGAACGACAATTATATTTTAATTATATCGATAGTGTTGCGTGACGATTACAAGTTCTGAAATATATGTGATTACCGACACGCAAGATTATCAATTGATTTCGTGTCTCAGCATTCTTATTTTATATCTTGTATTGAAACTGAAGAAAAAAGTGTCGTCTGAAAAATGTAGACAAAATAGTCAGTTAATAAGCGGATCCGCTAAAACTAGCCAACAGTCAGCCTCGATCACAATATATCATTGAACTCCTACTATGATAGTTACACCATATTCATTTGATATTATAGATAGTAAAACAATTATTATGAATCTTAATAAATCATCTTAATAAACCATATTTAGGTACTTTATTTGTGCAGTTATCGTTCAAACCAGAAGGTTTCAATTATTCACAAAGTGTAAGCTATAAGTATTATAAGCAAATGTTATTTCTTGTCTCACGTCCATACCGTTGTATACACAAGCTGATTGATCATTACATTAGTAACAACCGTTGTCAAGAGAACGGTTGTTATGCGACAGCAGCGCGGGTTACACAATATGTGACTCGTTTCTCGCGATTTGCATCGCTCCTAGAATTGTGCATTGTGTGCTCTGAGCGTGATTGAGTAACGACTATTTTACCGACCTTTTATTAGCGGACTGATGACGGGGTGATGATGTGGCCGTCTCTCCTGTAGTGCACCGCGTCCTAGCACGAGTGTAATAGGGAGGCGAAGGATCTGATCTCAGCACATCGCTTAGAGAGTTCGAGAAGACTATTCGACCTCATGGCTTCTCTGCACTATACCAATATTGCCTTGTATAGAAGGTCCGGTAGGGTGTTCTCGGCGCTCGCGTAAGACACTGGTTTCCGGTACGACGGAAAGTAGCCTTGGGATGTGATTCAGGCGGGCTTTGGACAGTTACTGCTAGTCCACGATTCGCGGGGTGAAGTGGCCAAGCGTCATGCTTAGACGGTACTCTGCCATGTCCCGACGGGTGTTTAGAGTCCCTTAGACTCTTATATGAGGGGCGACCCAGTTAGATGTTTGGAGGCAGGAGATATAGGATAAGAGGAAAAGGATTTTCTATAATGTTGCCAAAATAGTATTAACTCCGTGAAGAATGAGATAGAAACGTATTGTATTCACGCAGGCGAGCGCACGTCACATCCTACTACCGGTAAAAAGTATGGCGTAGGTCATGGACAGCTTACCTACATCAGTCAGGAGAAACTCGCCCGTCGAAATATAGTAGTTCCATATTAAAACAAGCTATTTATAAATTGATGTATATTAAGACATTGTTAGCATGCTCTGATTTACATAAATGATGTTTATGGTTTACATTAGTAAGGTTTTAGGTTGGCGTGTTATTTCATAAGGTCTTTGGTATTATTATATGAAATCATTTGACAAAAGAGTTGTTTGTATAGGGTTTTGATAATAGTAGACCAACAAATAAATTATGACAGTGCAGTAAATGTAGGCTCATATCGAGATTGTATATCCGATCCTCTAGAAGGGTTTTGTGAGTTTCATAATAAAATAAAATAATTATCTTGTGCCACATTTATCTTTGTCATTCTGAATTAACTTTAAAAATACTGGTTTTTCGGTGTTTAGTGCGCGACTCAATTGTACGCTAGTCAATTCTAGAAGGCATTACCTATATCTACATTATTCAATAGGTCAGTCGATTCGTCTCAGAAGCTCTCTCTCTCTCTCTCTCATCTTTATTTTCAAACAAAACTGAATAAACGTTATGTTTTATTCCACATGTGTATCATTGCCAAGTTCAGTTGGAACCAATGAACCGTCACAGCCTATCGATTGAAGTCGTTGCGAGTGACGTCACACGTTCATAAATTTTTCATGGGAGGGACAAAGGCGTCTCTTTTCCGTGTCACTAAATCGTCGACCATTATTTTCCAATTTAGCTCGATTGGTTTAGCTGCTCACTCGATTCACGTGTGTTTCATTTCATTTCCCAGTCTTGTTTCTGGCGTCGTTATAATACAGTTGGCTTGGTTCTGTTGTTTGGGATACCCGGTGCAATATTGTAAAAAGGAGGATTTCGATCGTCATTTGTTGGTTAGACACACATCGTCATTTGGTCGGTTGCGCGCGTCGCGGTTGATTGTCGTATGTACTTAAAGAGATCCTAATATGGCCACCGCAGACTAGCCTTGCGCCAACGCACGCTGCCGTTCCAAATATTGAATTTAACGAAATAATGAGCTTATAACCGAGAAAATGTGCTGCTCGTGGTTACGTTGGAGGAGACGGGTCGCGGACGCCGATACGGATCTTCCGGTGGAGGCATTTGATAATTCAAGAGAATCACCTGAAGATGTCGATGACAAAAATAAATCAAAATCACGTAAGAGACAAGTACTATATCACTGGGCCATTATACCTGAGAAGTTTATTTTGCTTAGCTTTCGCACTTTTTGTGTCTGTTTTGAAGTAAAACTCTTTGGGTGCGACTAGACTCTAGTTTCGTGTAACGATTTCTGTCACAAAGAGGATTGATGATATATCTCTCTTTCTCACACAGCGCTTTAGAAATTTCATTTTATCACGTGTACCGAGTTACGATCTTTTTTTGTAACATGTTTGTTAAGTTATGATTCATGGGCTCTATAAGGATATTATTATATATTTATGTCGTTAAGGCAATTACAGCGGTTTTGTCTATATAATCTTAATGCTATCTGATTCAAAACATTTATTTTTGTTTTGTTTGTAGCAAAATTTCGACTGTTTTGGGTTTTGGTATTATTGCACCGATTTTGGTTAAGTTCACTGATAATACAAATTCAAGCAGATATATAATTTTTGCAAGGTTGTTGGTGTGCTTTGTTTTTCTTAGTTGGGTAGAGGAGCCAGATTGTAATCTCATGTATGTGCATCAGTTAAGGAGTGTTTCAGTAACAAACTGTAAACATATTTGACATTGCGTACATATCACGCCGAGTGCGGCGACAAATACCCGCTATAAGCACTTGCTGCTGAGACAGTTTTGCTGTATGTCGATATGTATTGACAGCGCCCGTGACCAGGGTGACGCGGAACAATCAGATGCGGGTGTCGAATGTGGGTGGCGCCTACACAAACGGCCACGGCGGCGACACGACGGGGCGGCGCGGCGTCGAGAATGTACCCCCGGCACAGCTGCCGCCACAGCAGCCGCCGCCCAGTTCCAGAATCACACAGCAGGTGACATACCCTCTCAATTGGTACTAGCTTCTGTCAAGGATACTATCTTGTCAATACTCCACCTTGATTAATACCGCTTACGTGCAGCGAGATGATTCTAACTTGTCCTATTCGAATCCTATGTAGAATCCGAGCTTTTTTAAGGATCTTGTTGATCACCTACTTAGAACATCCGTTACCTATAGTTCTTCAACCTTTTTTTTTATTGCGTAGATGAGTGGACGAGCTCACAGCCCATCTGGTCTTAAATAGTTACTGGAGTCCATAGACATCTACAACGTAAATGCGCCACCCACCTTGAGATACAAGTTCTAAGACCTCAGTATAGCGCATTACTGCTACACGGCAGTAATAGGCCGAGTGGTTTTACCTAACCGCGTGGATTCACAAGAGGCCCTACCATCAGTAATAATCCTATTATCCAGTATTTCCTATATCCTTCCTAGCCTCCTTCATCGGGCGGTCGAATGCGCGCCGGTAGTACTCCGAGTGCAGCAGTAGTGTCTCAACCGCCTCAACTGCCGTATTTACTGTCTCAACGACGTACTCAAAATTTGAAGGAGGTTCCTTTGAATATTTTATTGTTGTAGATAGGAATTGTTATATTTAGTTAATATTTAAGTACTGTGTACAATTTAATTATGCGATTATAATAAATAATCACGTAAATTATAAAAAGTAAACGAAAGTTTCAAAATCCTTTGACGTGCGGTGAATATAGTATATTGTCCTAAATGGGTAGGATATTATACTTTCTACGTTTCTTTTGTGTGACTGAAATATCCTCATAAACTACCTTCCCCTCCCCAAAATTCCTTCATACGTTTCAAAAATGTCCTTTACAACAAATTTTTTGGCAAACAAATACGCTTCCGTTCCGTGACCTATATTTTAAGCCACTAACATTTGTATGGCTCTAGTTTTATTGAGACGTTCGAGAACCACTTGCAGTGATACTCACGGGGAACTTGTGGACTTAGTTTTCAGGTTCGGGTATTTCCAGTAGGGCGGCCGGCGTCGCGTCCACCGCGTCCGTGCCCGCCGGCGCCACCTCCGCCGTCACGTCCGCCGTCACATCCGGCGTCACGTCCGGCGTCACGTCCGGCGCGGTGCGGCGCTCCAACGTCGTCAAGGAGGTCGAGCGGCTCAAGGAGAACAGGGAGAAGAGAAGGCAGAGGCAAGCGGAACTTAAGGAAGAAAAGGTACTTGGGTGCTCGTCTGGTAATGCATTTTAGAGTGGCTGCGAAGTCTGCAGGGATTTTACGACGACACTGATGATGTGGTAAATCTTCCTAATGGCTTTATCTTTGAATCCATCTTGTCTTTATCGGAATTGAATGCGCGTAAGAAAAATGATTGTAATAACGCCGCATTGTACGCACGAGTATGTGAGCGATACCCCCCTGATCAGCACACACAACATGTATTGAACTTCATTGATTAGTCCTACCTAGTTCATACAAGAGTGAATATATAAAATCATTCAAAATTGGGCTCATATCGTGTTGAATGTTTGTACATGGGACAAGATGTGAGCTTGACATCATTAATCTTATAATATTTGTATAGTTGAATAACTGAAATAACCAGGAAGCCCTCATGAACCTGGACCCTGGCAACCCGAACTGGGAGTTCCTGGCGATGATCCGGGAGTACCAGAACAGCATCGAGTTCAGGCCGCTGACCGGCACCGAGCCCGTCGAGGACCACCAGATCACGGTCTGCGTGCGGAAGAGGCCGCTCAACAAGAAGGAGCTTAATAAGAAAGAGGTACGACTGATTATCTCATCCGGGGGCGACGAGTTGGTGCGGCCGCTAATGACCCTGTCACATTTCCAGGTGGACGTGATCAGCGTCCCCACCAAGGACCAGATGATAGTCCACGAGCCCAAGAACAAAGTGGACCTCACGAAGTATTTAGAAAATCAAAAGTTTCGATTTGACTACGCGTTCGACGACTCCTGCACTAACGAAATTGTTTACAAGTAAGCTTCGGGGGGGCCGCCCTTGCCCGCCTCGCGAGGCGGGTCCGTACTGCCAACAATCAAATCCATTACAACATCACGTCCTGATACGTGACCGTTTCTGTGACATTCGGTTCGTTAAAATGATGTAACGAACTTTGAAAATATTAATTTAATCATCAAGAACTGGCCTTCTTAATTTGTAGTCATTGTTGATAAAATAATATAGGGTGTAGTTCTTTGTCGAGATCATCCGACACGAGTTTGGTTAAGGGGAAAAGATTGTCGCAAACACAATGAGTCACAATGAGGCGCGCGTCCGCAGGTACACGGCCAAGCCGCTGGTGGCGACCATCTTCGAGGGCGGCATGGCCACCTGCTTCGCGTACGGACAGACCGGCTCCGGCAAGACGCACACCATGGGCGGAGACTTCCAGGTCTCTAAACGTATTCATTTGCATTTTAACCTGCTTTTCTTAGTTTGGTCGTTCAACGAAATTTTCACAAGTTACATTACTTTTAAAATCGGTAAAACAATGATTAATTATTTAATACATAATTTGAGTTCAATTTGTTGATAAAGGGTATTTTTTAGCTTTTAAACGTTAAAATGTTGATATCTGGCGAGGTGGCCAGTTCGGCATAAATGAAAATATATTTTTGATTTGGGATCCTTTTCAAAGATTTTTCTGCAACATGTACATTAAAACCGTAATGAGTTAATATAACATGATTTGCTACCATTCCAGGGCAAGACCCAGGACTGCAAGAAGGGCATATACGCCATGGCGGCGCGCGACGTGTTCACCTACCTGCGCGCCCCCAAGTACAAGCCGCTCAACCTCATCGTGTCCGCCTCCTTCTTCGAGATCTACTCCGGGAAGGTACGCCCCTCCGTGCGCCCTCTGTCCCGCCCTCTGTCGCGCCCTCTGTCACACGGGATCTTGTTGGGTTGGCGCGACTTCTAGAAGTGAGCTTGTCTCCAGGTGTTCGACCTGCTAGCGGACAAGGCCAAGCTGAGGGTGTTGGAGGACGGCAAGCAGCAAGTGCAGATCGTGGGCCTCACCGAGAAGGTGGTGGACAACGTCGACGAGGTGCTCAAGCTCATCCAGCACGGCAACGCCGCCCGGACCTCCGGCCAGGTACCCCGTCCCCCGCGGCCCCGCGGCCCCGCCCCCCGCGCCCCGCGACGCGCGCTGACCCCGCCTCCTGTTGCAGACGTCGGCCAACTCCAACTCGTCGCGCTCGCACGCCGTGTTCCAGATCGTGGTGCGGTCCCCGGGCATGCACCGCGTGCACGGGAAGTTCTCGCTCATCGACCTGGCGGGCAACGAGCGCGGCGCCGACACCTCCTCCGCCAACCGACAGACCAGTCAGTGCCACGCCACACACTACTCACTCTTAGCTANACCCCGCCTCCTGTTGCAGACGTCGGCCAACTCCAACTCGTCGCGCTCGCACGCCGTGTTCCAGATCGTGGTGCGGTCCCCGGGCATGCACCGCGTGCACGGGAAGTTCTCGCTCATCGACCTGGCGGGCAACGAGCGCGGCGCCGACACCTCCTCCGCCAACCGACAGACCAGTCAGTGCCACGCCACACACTACTCACTCTTAGCTAATGAGCGCTTTGTCAGAACAGATATACTCGAGTCCAGCATGACTCAACGCAAACATTGCTGTAATGTTATTATGCGTTTATTTTGTTAATTTCTCATTGTACGACATTTTTAATATCTGAATACGGAATAAAATTGTAAACGCCATTAAATTCGCAGGAATGGAAAGCGCGGAGATCAACAAGTCCCTCCTGGCACTGAAGGAGTGCATCCGCGCGCTGGGCATGAAGGGCAACAACCACCTGCCCTTCCGCGTGTCCAAGCTCACGCAGGTCCTGCGAGACAGCTTCATCGGGGACAAGTCTCGCACCTGCATGATCGCCATGATCTCGCCGGCCATGGCCTCCTGCGAGCACAGCCTCAACACGCTCCGATACGCCGACAGGTGCGCCCGCCGTGACCCCCGCGCCCCGCACCCCGCACCCCCCCGCGGCGGTGCGGCGCGCGGCTAACGCACGTGTGCTCACGTTACAGGGTGAAGGAGCTCGGCACCATGGACCCGTCCCGGCGCGGCGAGTCTCCGCCGCCCGACGTGGACATGCCGCCCGCGCGGGACGACCTGGCGCACCTGCGCTCCCTCAACGTACGTGCGACCCCCCCCGCGCCCCCCGGCGCCCTGCCCCCCGCCCCACTACCCACTAACCGCGCCGCCGTTGGTCCGCAGGAGGGCGACATGTCGGCCGAGATGTACACCTTCCACGAAGCCATCGACGAGCTGCAGCGCGCGGAGGAGGAGGTCCTGGACAACCACAAGGCCGTGTCCGACTACATGCACCACGCGCTGCTCCGCGCCAACCATCTGCTCGCCATCACCAGGGACGTGGACTACGACCAGGACGGTACGTACTCGCACGACCACGTAACGAGAACAATACGTGATTATTTATTAAAGTGTTATAAGTATTTATGAGATTTAAAAGTCACTCGACGCCAAGCTCGCCGAGCAGCCGAGCTTGGCGCTCGTTGCCTCGAGGCCTCAGACGCTGTGCCGTTCGTGGTCGAGAAGCTTTTACTGTGTCAATGACTTCACAATTTTATGTTCGCAACACAAACCGACCCTCCGAGGTCAGTGTGGCCTCTAGCTTGTATGAGTGGTGGACGTGTGCAGGCGCGCCGGGACGCAGGAAGCGGGTTCGGTTCCGAGCGAGCTACGGCGGCGCCGCTCTTAGGACTCTAGGTGTGACGTCATCCGCTCCCCACTAACGCGCTACTGCCGTGTCCGACCTCTTGCGATCCAAGGGCGGGTTCTCAAATGAACAGAACTTGTCGCGCAAACATCTTGTTTCAATTTAATTAAAAACTGAATTTTAAAATCAAAAGAAATTATACAAACTTTCACCTCGTTTTATCAATTGAGTTACTCGAGGACTAGAGTAATTAATCTATATTGTAGTGTAATATTACACAAGTCTTATTTGGAAACCCACTTATTAAATCGCAAAAGTAAATACACCATGGAAATAAATACCATAATTTTTATTCACGGAAATTTATTTTCTGTACTATAATTATGGAAATTATATACATAGTTACAATTTTACTTTTCATTTACAATATATATTGTCTGAGTAAACTCGAGAAAATCCTAACTGAGAGTGACGCAACGAATACCAATCTCGAACATCAGTAAACAACACAATTCTTCTCTGTGCATGTACTACAGTTGAGTGCATGTGCATGTGCTACAGTTGAGTGCATGTGCATGTGCTACAGTTGAGTGAATGTGTTACAGTTGAGTGAATGTGCTACAGTTGAGTGCATGTGCGTGTGCTACAGTTGAGTGAATGTGCTACAGTTGAGTAAATGTGCTACAGTTGAGTGAATGTGCTACAGTTGAGTGAATGTGCTACAGTTGAGTAAATGTGCTACAGTTGAGTGAATGTGCTACAGTTGAGTATGTGCTGCAGTTGAGTGCATGTGCTACAGTTGAGGGAATGTGCTACAGTTGAGTGCATGTGTTACAGTTGAGTGCATGTGCTACTGTTGAGTGCATGTGCTACAGTTGAGTGCATGAGTTACAGTTGAGTGCATGTGCTACTGTTGAGTGCAAGTGCAACACTTGAGTGCATGTACAACAGTTGTGTGAAATTTTGTACTTGAAGTCGTATTCGTGTAAACACATACATAAATTGAATAGGTAATGATGAGTATATTCGTTGCGTTACAATTTTAATAACCATTCACATGTCGATGTTTTGGGTAACACGCTTGCACGCAGGAGACGGTTTAAAACTGCTTTTCATATTAATTGAATCACACACGTACAATGTGTGGTTTTTATTCACCACTAGGTTTTAATTATTGAAAATAAAAGAAGGAAAAAATCCGAACTTACCCCAAAAAAATCCTTACAAAGGATTGGTTTCAACTCGCCTTTGTTGTTCGCCAGTTCGGCCTATATAGTTGTATTAAAAAAAATCGGTTTCTGAAACTATTAATGCGCCATCTGTTGTACGTTGATGGTACTATGATGAAAAATAAAGATCAATGTTTGTCGTCGATTCGTTCTTGAACCGTTGTGGCTGGTGCTCTGGGGAACTCTTCCACCATTACAATATACAGGGTGTTCCACAATGGATATTAACTAATCAAGCCACAATTTAATCAATCAAGTAATTATAGTATCAATATTTTCATAACGCCCCCTTGTGGGCGCTGCAGGCCTAAAGAGGGGCGGTAAGAGCCCCAGAAACAAAAGGGGCGTTGTGTAGAGGCTTCGGAGGCGATTTGTCATTTCAGAAGGACTCTTAGACATCGACTGAGCTCTCGCTATTGTGATTTTTAAGTAGGTGAAAAAATGGGGGCGCTAAAACATAATTTATTGTCAAAGTGGGCAGTAGACATAATATGTTCGGGAACCCCTGCACTAGACAAAAGAAATTTAATTCAGATACCCATGAAAAAATAGTAGTTAATTGTTTATGTACAGATCTGTACGTACACCACTCTAAATATTGGCGACACAATATTCCCAACTTCAGGGCGGTGCACTCTGTATATTACTGCTATTTCACATTATATTATGAAGCGGCGACTACTAAGGCGATTTAAACCTCACACATCGGCTCGGAACAAATGTTTTCAGTAATCGAATACGTTTTTCGAGAATATTATAGGAATGTTTACTTGGATTAGCCATCGTACGAGTTCGCTTGTGTGTTCAACATTACGTGGCCCACCCGCGGGTCCGTATTTTTGGTAATTAAAACGTAGTGGTGCTTCTTCCGAGTGCTCAGTGCGAGCGCGTGCTGACGGGCGCGTGCTGACGTGTGTGTGCTGACGTGCGCGTGCTGACGATGTGTGTGTGTGTGCAGCGTACGCGACGCAGTGGGAGGAGCTGCTGAACGAGCAGCTGGCCGTGCTGGCGCAGTCCCGCGACCTGGTGGCAGAGTTCCGCACCAAGCTCACGCGCGAGGAGCACATCTCGCGCCGCATACACAACTAGCGGGCGCCGCCATCACTAACCGCTCTGTAATATATTATGTACCGGCGACGATCTTGTCTCGCAGTATCGACTGTGGGTGACTATTCAGACGATTAATCGATTTTGACAACTTAAAAGTTTGTTGCGTCGGTCATCAGTACCGGCGCAGCCTTAAACCACAGAATTGAAATTGAATCTAATTGTAATACGTATGTTTGGGCAGTACCGTTGTCNGCGCCGCCACCACTAACCGCTCTGTAATATATTATGTACCGGCGACGATCTTGTCTCGCAGTATCGACTGTGGGTGACTATTCAGACGATTAATCGATTTTGACAACTTAAAAGTTTGTTGCGTCGGTCATCAGTACCGGCGCAGCCTTAAACCACAGAATTGAAATTGAATCTAATTGTAATACGTATGTTTGGGCAGTACCGTTGTCATCTGTCACGTTTATCGATATTTTATATCGAATATTGACGTATGAAGCTATCGGTAATTAAGTACATATTTTACTAATGAAAACATTTAACGTGAAAATGTCCGGTGCTCAACAACACGAGGTCAGAGACTTTGTCGAGAACACGCGAGGGCGCCGCGACCGATGCGAGCTCCAACTCATTATTTAGATGAACGATGAGCAGCTTCCGCGCTTCGAGGAACAAAAACCGTCTCGCATCTGGACCTTATGTATATTTAGAGTGTGAGGGCACTGCGGGGTCGGTGACCGCAGGCATTGTGTAGTGCAGCAACGTGCGTATTGAGTCGAATGTAAATGAACCGACCGCACGCGCCTTGGAGCTCCGGTCGGGTTGTAAGGTTTGAGCCAAAAAATAGAGTTTGAGGTAAATTTTCGTCTCTCATATATCGACGATTAAATTAAGAGATACTCACATTCCATGTCGATTCGATAACTCGGAGACGCGCGTCCGTTAACGTGGAAGTTATTGAAATCTTCCGGCCATATTTGTAATTAATACGAGTAAATTTTTCAAAGAGGAAGTAATCTATATCGTAGTGAAATTGTACCGTTGGAATAGTTTTTGTGGAAGCAAACTCTCGCTCAAATACCATTTCGTTTCCCGCCTTGTTTTCTACAGAGAGAAAGGTAGATATGCCACGGTACATATTCTTTGCATGTTTTTTTTTGTGTTGATTTAGACGTACATGGAATAAAAATATAGTTTTATGCTGAACGGAATCCAAGGTCAGATAAGTTAATTTTGACGTAAAATAATGCTATGTCAATCATAGAAAGAGATGACTTGAGAACAATGCGGATCGTTGTCTTTCTCTGGCTGCAGACTGGGCGGTCACACGAACACTCATAGAAATAAATGTCTATACACAGATTCACATAATTTGCTAATCATTTGCATCATTGTCATAAAAAAAATCGTAAAATTGTTCATTAATATTATTTTTCCCTTACACACTATGATATTAATTAATAAAAATAGTAAAAACGACTCAAAAAGACTATGTTTATGTAACTATAAGTTTTTTCAAGTCAATATTTTTAATTTTTTTTCTCTTTATTTTTTTTTTGTATTGTGTTGTGATATATTTTGTTAGCGAACGAGAATAATGACGCTTGTAGCGATCGCTGTGGGCTCGTGCCGCGCCCGGGCGGCGCCAGCTCGCTGCCTCAGCTTGCGATTAAATACTTACTATTAATATAATTTTCTAATTTATTTTCAGTTCAACTTTTTATTCAGCTATTAAATGTTGTCATTGCCGTGTAATAGTTTTTGTTAACTTATGATTAATATCAGGGGCGAAATGCTCGGAGGTACGCCATACTTGCTGTAAACTATCATTTAATATTCCATTTTACAAATTTAATCGTAATAATTCGATGTTTGATGTCAAAAAACACAAATTGTCTGGTAATGGAATATAGAATGGTAGTTGTCAAAAAAAAACGCGCGAAATTCCTATGTAACCTTAACAAAGTTAATTTAAAAATGTTTACGTGAATAATATTTTTTGTAAAATAAAAATTAACTTGACAAAACTGTGGTTTATCTGCGCTCTGGTGCTGCACTAGTCTAGTTTCTTCTGGTCTAGCTTTTACAAGTTTTTTGTACTTCAGCACTTCAATAGAGTGAATCAACATATCGAGACAAACCTTTCAGTCACGATAAAACATGACGTACTGTTACGTATCAATCTCGCATTTATATATCTGTACATTTTCCAAAGTAACGAGTCACAGTTGTGGCCTCAGATGCCGTCCGTAAAGTGTGAGATCATAATCCGAGTGTTTAATCATATAAAAGATTAGTGAACGAGGCGGAAATTGCGACATTGCCGATAATTTAAATCGATAGTTGAATGACCTGATCGATTTTGACTATTTAACAAATCGAAATTAGAGGAAAAGTCTACGAAAAACTTCGAAACGCTGTAATTTAAACAAAAAACAGCTTATATTATGTATGTGAAGTTTTAAATGTAATTTTTTTTTTAATAGCGTTTGGAGTTATTTTAATAGAAAAGGGTAATTAATAGTAAATCTTTGTATCAGGAGAAAGGCCCGGTTAATCCACGAGAATATGATAATAATTTATTTTATGTAAGTAAATTTTATCCTGATAGATTTGTACAGATCTGTGATCAAATTAAAGTTAGAATGCACAGAAATGCGTTCTTATGGCCTTAATGACAAGATACACAATCTTTAAATGGAGACTTGAAATCGGATATGTCAAAAAGAAACTAAGAAGACAGCCTTTGATACGAGTGCGTGGCATTTATATGAATTAAACAAATTGAAGTTTAATTCCATTTTAATATCATTTTACGCGCGCTTTTCTTGAATTTATAACTAACACCGAGGTGAATGTATACGGTACTTAGCTAAAGTGACTTTATAGTAAACGATTCTACAAAATTCTACTGTGTGAAGCCTCGACCAAAATCGGTGTTTGGTTTTAGATATGCGATTATGATATTTATGTATGCAGCTTTAAGGTATAATTATTTTTCCTATGCAGTTCGATTAAAGCGTAATGATTTCGCGTGGAATACAATTATTCTGTATAGAAAATATCAGGTTAAAAGGACAATTCGAAGTCGGCGCGGCGTGTTGTCTAGTTGAAATGCTTTATTGTAATAAATAAATATATTTTAACATCGCACATTGTAATAAATTAATCGAAATTGTTATGTTGTTTTCTTTTCCTTTGTTCATTTTCTTTGAAATAAAATATTTGTTTTTTATTTGATTCGATCAACATACTTTTGAATGGACCTGCCTGTGCCTTCAAATTAGAAGTATTATGATTGAAAGGTGCTGCTAATTTTATCAATGACCCAAACTACAATACGTAGTGATGGTTTCGCGGCATAAGTAATCTGGACATCCCAGACTTAATCCGTGAAGGCGTTAAAATATTACATCTTATTTTTTGGCGGAAGGTTGAATATTCATAAATACATCACGTTTTGGGACTGTAGTGGTATGTAACGTATATTCGTGTGAGGTAGTATTTGGTTGTGGTTTGACAATTAAGTGAACAGTTATTCTTAAACAATAAGACGATCGAGTTTGGAGGCGGCAGAGGGTATTGTGAGAACCCACGGGCCAGTAATATATTGTTTATTCTAAGCAGTTAAGCGTTCGGGGCAGAAATTGACCACTCGATATAGGGTTGTAAACTCATTATTCATTTAGAGGATTAAATTAATTTGAGGTAAAAGAGGGCGACGCAATCTACTCTGATGTTAGTTCTGTCTGTTGGATGAAATAGTTCATACCCCACCTGGCATAAAGTGGCCATAGGAATCCATAGACATCACGACATAAATGTCCACCTTGACACATGAGGTCGAAGTATGCACTGTATTGTCGAAAGGCTGTCCAAGTCCACCCGTCAACCCGAGCACACGAGCGCGTCGCGGCAACAACGGACACCGTGGACCCACCCGGGCGAGCTTACAGTGCATTCAGCGCACGACTTAGTAAATTTTGTGGTTTTTATTTGCATAACAGAATTCCGGATATTCTCACGATGATTTATTGTGTAACGCGTTCGTGAACACAGGTAGATGCATTTATATTTCCATAAAAATAATAGATCTGCGGGATTTAAACACTTAATACTGGTTTCTTTTGATGCGAGTACATCGGGCGCGTGCTCTGGGCTACAACAATAAACGGATTCAAAAAACAAAAAGGAAGTGAGCGGGGTATGGTTTTAATAACTGTACTAAGAGGGTGAACCGTGGACTACTTCCATAAATAAAATAAATGACATTAACAATTCTCATCCTTTACTTACTTTGAAATAAAGGACATTCAAGAGCTACTTTTCTCGCTTCTAGTCTCGAATCGGTATCATTTTCGAAGAAAAATATTATGGACTCATAATTTCAATTCTTTCCTTGCGATAACTGAACTATCTCTGACTAGATCTAACTAGACAATCCCCCTAATCGATGACAAAAAAAAACATCGGGAACTATTAAGATGTTTTATATTATTTGGTTTAAAATTTGTACGAAACAAACGTTTACATAGGTACAACTCGACCAAGCTAAGTTTGCACCCCGCATCGATTACGTCACACTATCGCTTAGGTACGGTCTGAAAAAAGGATTCGCTATGACTTTAAAAATGTAAACAAATGTTAGATTTTACTTTGCATTTATTGTTTTTAACAATATATTATACATAGGTAGTTTAGAATATAGCGATGTCAGGTTTTTTTATTAAGACCACCCGGGCGTTCTTGCACATTTTTGTATCCTAATTGCTCAGTAATAATTTTCCTTTATGTTTCTTTTTCAAGATTATGTATCTCCCTTCACTGTGTATCACCTTTCCTTTCATTTATGTTGCCCACAACAATCTTCTCGAATTAAAAAAAAATGAACGTTAAGCGTTCAGTAACAACAGTTCAACAAAAACTTAACAAAAATAGTCCAATTATATAACTAAACTTCAACAAAAAACCTATTAAGAACAGTTAAAAAATTTAAAATTCAACAGATAGGGAAACGAAAACTCGTATGACAAAGATGCTAACCGTACTGACGCGACAGGGCGATCGCGGGAAGGTGAGCGGGGAAACGGGCGGACCGCCGCATTCCAGCGAGGTGCAAACTTAGCTTGGTCGAGTCGTATATTGGAATTTGGGTGTACCCGTCTGTCGGTTTAAAAGCATAACTACTAATATTTTCATTTTATCTTGCTAAAATAGTGGGAAACAAAGAGAATAAAACCACATTTTAGAATCAAATACGACCAATGTGAGGTGAGCTCCCATTACAACATTCCATTAGGTATTTATTCCAAGTTTAATGCGAGTTCAACCGCGGCATAAACTTAGTCTTAAATATAATGTTAAATAAATTAGTGTTAATTTTACATAATCATCACAAGGAACCGACGGATTGAATCCAATCACGACTGACTAAATAAATGCAATTATAATTAATTGATTGTTAGTATGTGTATATAATTAATTTAGTACTGTGATATTGTACAGACATGATCGGAACAATCAAATTCAATAAATAGGTCCTAGCTACTCAACGTCTGTTGTACAAATTGAAAATAAACTTTAGAAAGGCTGATTTGTGACACGCATTTTGCTGTCAAAATATAAACATTAAAAAATCAATTTACATTCAAACTTATCTGGAATTAGTTTACTTTATTTTGTACGACAGAGTTAATATTTTTTTTAACTTTTATCACATTCAACAAAATACAATCTCAGCGTAGTGATCAGATGCACTCAAAATAAATAATATTTCATCCATTGATTAAACACATACACTACATACATATTTCCACTATTTTAAAACATTCGTGTTCTGTTAAAGATTTATCTTGGATAATCATTTACCACGTGTGCTGTAAACTACTAAATGTGTCCAAAATATAAAAGAGTAATACAAATTTTAGTAGTAATTCAGCCTTATTGTGTTGTTTTTTATTCAACTGTGGGTCGTGGAAGCCATTGTACTAATAATACTACTTAGATACATTTTTTTATCTTTATAGAATAATATAAGAAATATTATGCGAACTATTTAAAATGATTACGCAATACAGATGATGTAGGTAATAAATAGGTAGTTTTTTACAAACCGAGAAGGCTCTGCGCACACGTCTGACAAAAATATTTTACACTTGTCAACGAAACTGACATTTTTAGGAAATCATTTCTGTAAATTTCCTTTGCATATCAAGCACAAGTATTATATATCTTTGTGCTATATGGTTACTGTAGGTTGTCATACAAGTCGCGATACGCGAGAAAGGTCTCTGCGATGAGGTTCTTTTCGAAAAATCAACCTGGCGATGTGGAAAATATCGCTATCTTTAACAAACTGCACATAGGTAGTGCGCGTTATACTTAAATATGCTCCGAATTAAATTATTTTAAAGTTTTGTAACAAACAGGACAGGGTAAAAGCTAAGTGTTTCTGAAACCGAGAAAGGAGTATTAGACTAAGCGGGAAATCATGTCACGCAACTCACGCAGCGCGCGTTGATGGGTGGCTAGATAATTTATTTTTTAATTTAATTAGTTCGATCTTAAATAGTATTTGGCGACACATTAACTTCAGAGACGGATTTAACTTAAAAACATTATTTCACGCGCACTCCTTTACGCCATAAGTCTTCATTAATGTCGTAATGTAATAAAGCATTACGTTCAGTTAGAGATGCACCAACGAAACGATGGTTCGTTTGATCATTCATCATCATCATCATTGTAACTAACCGGTGAATCGTTTGTATTAGAAATTGTCTTCAAGCCGCTACGCCAAGTATGGCCCCCCAACCTTACATAAATCTGTTAAGTTTCGTTCAAAATTCATTTCTCTTGAGGATATTTTCAATTCTGTTCTGTACTTCTGTTGGATCCGGTGTCAGAGAATTGTATCGTCGAATTCATCTTCGGTAAGTATATGAGGTTTGCCGATGGCCGGGACCGTGTGGGAGAACTCGCTGGTCGCCCACAGGTACAGGTTTAGAGTTCGCTCTGTTGATTGTGCTATAAACCTGGAAAAAAGAAATATAACTTTACGACCGAAGGAGGTAATATTGAATAAATGAATATACATGAATCTTCATTCCTGGCGAAGATTCAGAGGGATGCAGATCATCATGGTGAATGTAGAAAAGTGTGTTTTCAGCAGGACATCGTCTTTCTTCCACTGCTTTGTGATTTTTATAATCAACGTTTTAGGTACCGTGTATTTTACTCATAAACTGTCGTCCGTTGCCGCCAAAACTGTAAAGCATTCGAAAAGTCGAAAATACAATGATAGTGAAAAACGCAACATTACTTTTATTATATTTATGACTCGCTAAAACATTATCAAGGGTTTGTACCTCCCCACCGTATATCTATAGTTTAATAGAGATATTAAACGTGAAGAGTTTTAAATAAAAGTCTTGTGCCAAGCGTTGTGGCGTAAAGGATAAGTAGATACAAGTATCCCCTTTTTTTTTTTCGGTTAGAGNTACCAATTTTTGTAATGAAATACGTACTCAACAACACTCAACGTTCACGATTGATTTCCACGGTGAAGGAATAACATCGTGTGATAAAAATGAAATCTTCAAAATAATAATTTGCGTAATTACTGGTGGTAGGACCTCTTGTGAGTCTACACGGGTGGGTACTACCACCCTGCCTATTTCTGCCGTGAAGTAGTAATGCGTTTCGGTTTGAAGGGTGAGGCAGCCATTATAACTATACTTGAGACCTTAGAACTTATATCTCAAGGTGGGTGGCGCATTTACGTTGTGGACGTCTATGGGCTCCAGTAACCACTTAACACAAGGTGGGCTGTGAGCTCGTCCACCCATCTAAGCAATAAAAAAATAAAATAGCTGAAATACTGGCTAGACCAGCTATTTGGAAGTCTAGCCACCCAAAGTATTTCTCGTACTTCTTGTGGAATTCTCCATCTATAGGTATACTCCGATTCTTATTCAAAACATGTACTTCACAATCTTTTCCAAATAATAGGTCCTGAACCAAAAAACTATTAATTTGTAAGCAATATCGAGATAATTTCGAAATAGACATTTCGATGTCGGACTTCCTTACTAGTCGCGGCGGCGAACGTGAGTACCCGTGGCCTGCAAACGGTGCTGCGCGAATGGTCGCCTCGCCCACCGCTTCGCTGTTCGCACC